TTGCAGCCATTTGCTAAAATCATTTAAGTTCATTTTTTTTCCTCATTAATGTACACACAGCACCCCATATTGACAGAAAAACACGGAATTGTTGACATTTTTGCAGATTTATTAAAAAAGAAAAACTGAAATATCACATGGTCCTAAGTATTCAGATCCTTTGCTGTGACACTCATATATTTAACTCAGGTGCTGTCCATTTCTTCTGATCATCCTTGAGATGGTTCTACACCTTCATTTGAGTCTAGCTGTGTTTGATTATACTGATTGGACTTGATTAGGAAAGCCACACATCTGTCTATATAAGACCTTACAGCTCATAGTGCATGTCAGAGCAAATGAGAATTATGAGGTCAAAGGAACTGCCTGAAGAGCTTAGAGACAGCATTGTGGCAAGGCACAGATCTGGCCAAGGTTACAAAAACATTCCTAAGAGTACAGTGGCCTCCATAATCCTTAAATGGAAGACGTTTGGGACGACCAGAACCTTTCCTAGAGCTGGCCGTCCGGCCAAACTGAGCTATCGGGGGAGAAGAGCCTTGGTGAGAGAGGTAGAGACCTAAAAATGGCTGTCCACCAACGTTTACCATCTAACCTGACAGAACTGGAGAGGATCTGCAAGGAGGAATGGCAGAGGATCCCCAAATCCAGGTGTGAAAAACTTGTTGCATCTTTCCCAATAAGACTCATGGCTGTATTAGATCAAAAGGGTGCTTCTACTAAATACTGAGCAAAGGGTCTGAATACTTAGGACCATGTGATATTTCAGTTTTTCTTTTTTAATAAATCTGCAAAAATGTCAACAATTCTGTGTTTTTCTGTCAATATGGTGTGCTGTGTGTACATTAATGAGGGAAAAAAATTAACTTAAATGATTTTAGCAAATGGCTGCAATATAACAAAGAGTGAAAAATTTAAGGGGGTCTGAATACTTTCCGTACCCACTGTATATATATATATATTCCAAATGGGTAAGAAATATATATTTTTTTCAAGATACAGTATATTTTCTGAGTCTTAATATAAATTTGTTTTATAGATATTTAAATAATTTTCAGTGGTAATAAAGACAAAAATACTTATTAATTTTGAAATGATTTTTACAATGTATGTCAGCAGAGCATCAGGTCTGCAACAAAACACACTGTCCTTGCACCTGGAACTCCTCCATCTGCGGGACCGTCCTGCCTGCACCCTTCAGAGATGCTCTGTGGGGTTCTGGCTATTTAGTGGGATGACATATGGAATCCTGTGTAAGACTCACATAGCAGGACAAACTGCTCTCCACTGCACTGAGCTTCTGCTTATTTTTCACAGTGTATTATTGGCCTGATCCAGGTAAAGCACACTTCAGGATAAAAGAACACCCTGGAGTGAAACGTCTTACATTGCAGAATATAATCAGAGTAGACTTTGATCATACAGTCTGAGTTTGACTTTCAAAGGAGGCTGGAGAATAAACACGAGTACCAGGGGACCATGAAATCAGAGTTCAGTCGGAATGCTATAATAAATGCTATTTCAACCCAAACCCTGAGGGGGTTTTGGACAGCCATCTGAAGGGTGAAGAACAGAATCATGGGTATGACAGGAAGGAAAACGAGAGCATTTTGAATGAAGTGGTGGGGGTTTGAAAAGAAGGAAACACATTAGCGCTGATGATATGAATACTCTTCCTCATCTTTATTCACTCCTTTGTGTCCCATCCCCCTCTCCACAGCCGAATATACAAATAATGAAGAAAAAAACAGCCGTTCTATTTTTAGTGAAAAATATGAGATGAAGTTGTTTGTCTAGGCTCAGTAGGAGCTTGTCAGCTTTAGAAATTGTAAAGGTTTGAAGGGCATTCTGGGTCTTTTTTTATGCTTTTGTTTCATTTCCGTCAATGCTCACTGCAATTTAGGATTTTTATGTGGCTTTTTTTAAAATACACATATCAGTTTCACTACTGCCAGCTTGTCTCTTGAAAAGAAAACATCTATATTTGTTTGCAAGACTTTATTTTCCTAAGCCGCAAATCTTGCACAGTGATTTGTGTAATGAGATTCACTATGGTCCCGCATTAACTGTACGGGGGTTCATGAAAACATTAAACCCCACTTGGCTTTTTTCCCATTCTGGGAATGTCATATTCCACTGTTATGTGTTCGGCGAGAGAGGGGAGCCTGGAGGTCATCACTGACGGAGATGTGGCCCTGCCAATGCAAACACTGCCAAAGCTAAAATAAGAAAGGGCTTACAGACTGTTTTCATACAATACGTTTTATATGTAATCTAAATTATATATCTACATTCATTCATTTAAATTTAATGTTTTAAATAA